TGTTGTGTATGGTTGTTGTTGTTGTTGTGTATGGTTGTTGTTGTTGTTGTGTATGGTTGTTGTTGTTGTTGTGTATGGTTGTTGTTGTTGTCAGCGCTTGCAGATGGGAAACTTGTGTGATGTCAGAACGTGCAGGTTGGAAGTGTATGGTTGTTGTTGTTGTTGTGTATGGTAGCTGTTGTTGTTGTGTATGGTTGTTGTTGTTGTGTATGGTTGTTGTTGTTGTCAGCGCTTGCAGATGGGAAACTTGTGTGATGTCAGAACGTGCAGGTTGGAAGTGTGTGTCCGGAAAATACACCACCATTCTGCTTGATCATTCATGTGTCAGCCTCGATTTTGTCTGTTTGTTCAATAGCTCATTTAGTGTTTGTTTATCTGAACTTTTGTTGAGTTGCCTTTCAAAAGAAGGTCTCTTGTAAAAGTTTTAGTGTGTGTTTTACGGCGCTTGCAATATAAAACGGTCATACAAGTGCCGAAGATTAGAGGTGTTACAAGAGAGTAACACACACAGAAAGGATGAGGCCACAATATATATATTTTTTAAAGTTTTAGTAAGAGTTTTACGACACTTGCGACCCAAAAGGTGTTGATGGTGAACAAGGAGCAAACCATAGCCGAGCACCCACCAACCACCCATTAAAAAAGGTAGACCTTGACCAAGTTGTGATTTTGTCCTGGGAAATCAGAGTGGCTTATCTCAACTTCTGGTCAAAACTGTTCTGTCTCTCTCTCTCCTTTTCTCCCTCTCTGTCTCTCTCCTTTTCTCCCTCTCTGTCTCTCCTTTTCTCCCTCTCTGTCTCTCTCTCTTTTTCTCCCTCTCTGTCTCTCTCTCTTTTTCTCCCCCTGTCTCTCTCTCTCTCTCCTTTTCTCCCTCTCTGTCTCTCTCTCTCCTTTCCTCCCTCTCTGTCTCTCTCTCTCTCTCCTTTTCTCCCTCTCTGTCTCTCTCCTTTTCTCCCTCTCTGTCTCTCTCTCTCTCCTTTTCTCCCCCCGTCTCTCTCTCTCTCTCCTTTTCTCCCTCTCTGTCTCTCCTTTCCTCCCTCTCTGTCTCTCTCTCTCTCTCCTTTTCTCCCTCTCTGTCTCTCTCCTTTTCTCCCTCTCTGTCTCTCTCTCTCTCCTTTTCTCCCCCCGTCTCTCTCTCTCTCTCCTTTTCTCCCTCTCTGTCTCTCCTTTCCTCCCTCTCTGTCTCTCTCTCTCTCTCCTTTTCTCCCTCTCTGTCTCTCTCTCTCTCCTTTCCTCCCTCTCTGCCTCTCTCTCTCCTTTTCTCCCTCTCTGTCTCTCCTTTTTTCCCTCTCTCCTTTTCTCCCTCTCTGTCTGTCTGTCTGTCTCTCTCTCTTTATATATATATA